TTTCTTTCTAAAAGACCCATTTTTTAAAATATTTTGTCATACATGAGACACGAGAACATAACTTCATAGTTTTCACCTAACTCATCTTTATCATTTATTATTTTATTTATCCTCCATTGCTTTTCCATATAAACATTAAAAGTAATGACTCAAAGTCAATCTAAATTTACAGCTGTAACTATTTTCTCTGATACCAACTAGCAAGAGAAAATCAGCATGAGCATGGCAGAGCCTTTGCCAATGCTTTGCTCCACCAAAAGAGAGTAACAACACTGCTTCTCTGAGTGGTGTTCTAGTAGAACTTCAGTGTGGAAGCAGCAAAGAAGAGAATACATATCAGTTACACCTGGGAACTGAATTTTTGTCTATACAAAGAAGCAATGCCATCTTTCTATCACATCCATCCATCCAACCATCTATATATCTATATTTATCTTTGTCTTTCTACTATATCCTAGCACTACAGTTTAGTAATTTTATGTATTTGTATGGAAACTATATTTTAAATGCAGGTGCACACACATATGCAATCCTTTGTAGACTGTTAACCAGTGAAGCATTCCCATTTAACATACGTGTGAGGAGGAGAGAGAAAGATTCAAAATGACAGTCAAACATTAAAAAGAAAGAACTCGTTGGTTAGCTTTGGAGGATTTCAGGGAACCAACTCAATCTGAAAACTGGTAAATAAAAGGAAAACTAGCATTTATTCTGCCTTTTCTCTATAAACTGTACTGCATGAAAACAAAAAAGTTCATAAGAGAAAATTCTTTATAGAAATCCAACCAATAAATAAAGGAGTGATAAAATTAGAATAACCTTATTTTGCAACCCCTAATAAAATAATGGATCTAAGCAATGGTCATTAACGGCTGCTAAAACCATTAGGTGAAAAGTTGATAGGAAACTTTACAATGGATAGATTAGACTGACAATACTTGAACCTAGTGATCAGTCTTATCACCACAGACAGAAATAACCAGAAATTATGTACCTTATGATATTATGCAAAGGAAAGTACAATAATCTATAAAGTATTCCTTCAAAAGAAATTAAACTCAAGTCTGATCAAGCCCCTGGATTTAACTACCAGCTCCTTAGAAACACAGAGGTCAGAGGAATATGGTAAATGACACCACAAAGATACAGTCAGCAAATCCCAAAATGTGAAAAATTCTGTAAGACTAATAAGCTACTTCATTCATCAAATAAATTACAAGACGGGGAAAGGACTAATGGAAGGAAGGACTAATTAGAAGGAACTAATGATTGCAAGTAACTTAAGAAATACATCAATTAAACGTAATATGTGGACTTTTTTTAAATCTTGACTCAAGGAAACTACAAAAACTCAAAAACCTTTATGAGACAACAGGAAAAACGTGAATACAAATTGGATATTTAATTATATTAAAGAATCATTAATTTTTAGGTGCAATGATAGCATTGCAGTTATATTATAACAAAAATGTGTCCCTATCTTTTAAAGATAAATACATACGCACAGATACATATCTTTACAGATAAACTGATATGACGTACAGGAATGGCTTCAAAAGAGTCTGAGAGAAAGGTGCAGGGAGCACTGGCACAGATTAAATAAAACTGGCTATGTATTAACTGCTGAAACTGGGTGATGGGTACATATAGGTTCATTATACTACTCTATTTTTATATACGTTTTTAAATGCTCATTTTAAAATCTGAAAAAAAAAAATAAAAGAATTGTCCTTTGCAGACTGTTAACCCAAGGTATTCTTATTTAATATACTGATTTTGAGCACACCTACACATGACGCATTATTCCAGACAGTATAATAGGAGAGAAGCTCTTTAAAACTCCCTACAACAGAGTAACTGATAAATGAATTACTTTATAATTATTAATACAGAGGAAGAAGTAATTATAAGTATATAATTCCAGAGATTTACTAACAGTAGTTGAGAAATATGAACATGAACAGTAAGTAAATGGGCTTTTTTGGTAATCATCTCCACTGTTTCCTCTTCTAAGCCATAGCTTTCCGATATTAGCAAGCAGTTAAGTCAAAGTAAAAATATTACCTACTTGCTTCCTCCTTTCTTTTTTTTTTTTTTTTTTTTTTAAAGATTTTATTTTTTTACTTTTTCTCCCCAAAGCCCCCAGGTACATAGTTGCATATTCTTAGTTGTGGGTCCTTCCAGTTGTGGCATGTGGGACGCTGCCTCAGCGTGGCTTGATGAGCAGTGCCATGTCCGCGCCCAGGATTCGAACCGATGAAACACTGGGCCGCCTGCAGCAGAGCGCGGGAACTTAACCACTCGGCCACGGGGCCAGCCCCTACTTGCTTCCTCCTTTCTACACAAACACTGATTATATATTGTTTGAAAAATTTTGGTTTCCATTTGTTAGGACAGCTTAAAATTAAAATTATGACAAACACATTTGGCTGTTTCCCTCCTTTTTATTTAACTTTCTACTACAACATAATAACAAGAAACATTTAAAGTAAAAGAAACCTGAGCAAACTAAGAAAAAAATTTAAAAACAACAGCTTGAGAACTTTCCTAGTAATTATGGATATAAAGGTCAAAATTGCCTTCTATGAAAACATAGGTAAAAATGATAGATTACTAAATCTAAAATTGGTATATTGTGCTAGCCCAATAAATAGTGTTCATTTCCTACAAATAAGAAACTATGTGACAAAGAATTATAGACCTCTTTTAAAACTTAGTTGGAAATCTCATACTTAAAAATTAAACTATTATAAATATCAATACCTACTTATATACATATACATTTACAAGCAGTGGCTTAAACATTTCAAAACAAAATATAAAAATATATTTAGAGTTGTCCTTATCATGTTTTTCTTAATTTATATTTTTAAAGGATCTTTCAAACTGTTAAAATGCTGAAACTCTCTTGATTATAAATATTTTAGTGTAACTAAGCACTGTATAGGTAACACTGGAAGAAAGCACTTACTAAAGATATGTATTATGTAAAGAAATTAAGAGATATTACTTACTGAATAACCCATTCTTTTTCATGAAAAAAGAAGAGGCCAATCACCAATTTCTAGGTCACAATAGAGAGGAGCAAGTAACATTAGAGGGAAAGAACAAAACATTGTTTAATAGAAATACAATTTTGATCACATTACCTAGTTCCCTATGAAGGACTTTCACATTCAAAAAAGCATGAAGGAAAAGACTGAAATACACAGTTGTAAGCACCTATAAAGCACTTCTAGAGCAGTTGTAAGCCACTTATAAAGCTTATATTGGGAGACAGGATTAAATACACAGGATCTTGTTAGGGAATAACAATGTCAGATGTTATTCAAGGTATCTTTTCTGATTTGGGGGACATATTTTGGTATGTGATACCTCTGAAAACATCCAACTCTGAGTTCTCTAAAAAACCAGTTCAACTCTACACTGTTATGTGCTGAATATTCAAATAGAAGCAGCCTACAGAAAGACTGAGCCTCTATGCAGAGGTGAGCAGACTCAACATTGGGCTATGCAGCCTGGGTATCACTGCTGCTTTGTTAACTGTTCTAGTAGCAACAGAAATCTACCTCTATCTCAGGAGGTAAAATTTGTTTTTCAGAGAGAAAGAAGTAACATCATGTACTGCATCCTTAGAAAACTGACCAGCTAAAACAGTGACCAAGAAAGACAATCAGATGAATGAAGCACTAGAAAAAGAGAGATTTACTAGCCATGAAAAAATGGAACTCAAGTATTCAATACCAGTTTCTTATAAACAAAAGAAGAAATAACAGACCCAAATATAAAGAGGCTCATGGCCCTAAGTCAGACAAGTCCCAGAATTCTGTCCTTTTGACATGTAGCTCTGTATTCTTTCCATTACACAGCAAGACCTTTCTCTTTCAATGATGTCTTCAATTACATCATTATTAAAACTTGCATTTACTGAAGATACTGGGCAAGCAAGACAGATGTATACACCCCAATCAGCTTGTCCAATGACCCCAACAGAACTTGGGGTAGAGCCACTACTCCACTTGCCCAAGGTCACACGTTTCCAGGCAGAGTAAGGTCTAAAAGAACCCACATGCTCTGCCTTCCCAGAAAAACAAAATTCTGTCTAAAGCCCAAACACTCAGGTAAACGTGTTCTCTTTACAGACACCAAAGCCTAATTTGGCTGATGTTTCTCACGGATTTTGTCCATAGGAATTCCACGCTGGTGTATTCTTGTTCTGGGCCCATAGTATCCTGTATAATTCCATCAATCTAAGATCGCAACCTGTGAAACTAGCATGTTCCAAGTCCCCTTCATAAAGTTAACTTTCCTTTTCAATTGCTAAGTACCTAAAAAGCACTCTGTTTCTTCTAAACTTCACATCCAGACCATTAACACCACTGAGTGTCAATTCAAAGATAAATATATTAAACATCCGTTAAATCTATTATTTTTAGAATGTTTTCCATGTACCTTTTAATACCTAAAATTTCATTTATATTCTAACACATATATTTTCCCTCAAGCAATTTAGATCCTCATCAAATCATAAACACTTGGAGAGTAAATTTTGTCATACAAATACTTTATATGTACACATAATACCACAATGTACAAAATAAATATTCCATAAAATTATATGAAATGCTATTTAGTTTTTCCCTATTCTTCCTAATACATTCTCTTTCAACTGTATCCAACTCCTAAAATAACGAAGAAATTCGATATAAATGAACCTGATCGAAAAAAACTCAAAACATCATTTGCTCCAAGAACTATCGCAGAATAGTTTTCAAAAGTACATTTCAGAAAATGAATTATGTTAATATAATTTCCTAAATTTAAATAACACATAATAGATTGCTAAAAACAATTAAATGACAACCAAGCAATTATTTCAAATAGCAAAAATGTCATCTCTTTATTGAATGCCAGTTATTCATTTCTGTCAACAACTGTCCTGCAAAAGTTATAAATAAATGCAAAAAGTATCTCCCTGAAAAACGTTCTGAGAAACTTACCATCATTTTGGCTCTTGCCCTTCATCTCCTCCTTCCACGACAGGATGGTAGTCAGGGGAACATAGTCCCGTATGTATTCTTTGCGTCTCTCCTCTAAGGTCATCTTCAGTAAACGTTCTTGCAAAATAAAAGCAGAATCTCTATTTGTATTTAACTTTTAAGTTCAAGAATTATTTTATAATTTAAATATTAACTATGTTAAACTAACCAAAGAATTGATGTGAACTTAAGGAACAGCAAAATGCAAATCTAATGACCCCATATTTGAGTTTTAAAAGGTGTCAAATTAATACCACATTAATAGGAAGAAAAACATCATTGTTTGATGAGGAAGACTCTCTTGTGATGGTCCAAAAATAAGTAAACTCTTTCACTCAACATCTATTGACAGTCTACTAGTGCCAGGTGATACGTTTATATACTGCAGGTACAAACATGGTCCTTAACCTTGAGGAGTTCACAAGACAAAGGAGGAAATGGAAAAGATACAAAATAATAGCTACATAAATAAAATACAAATACTAAGAGCACAAGAAAGGAAGCCATAAAGATATTTCCTTAATTCTATAATGCCATCAACAATAAAAGTGTAGTTTCAATTTAATAATAGCTTTTCGGAGGTGATATAAACAATATTTTAAATATAGATCTTGATTATAAGAGTAAAATATTTTAAAAATGCATCTTAGAATTAATCATAGGTGATGTCATTTATGAAGAACTCACTGTGGGCCAGGTACTTCACATGTCTAATCTCATTGAAATAATCTTCCCAACAACTCAGCAAAATTGACAGTAGTATCCCTATTTTGCAGATAAGGAAATGAAGCATATCAAAATTCAGCAGTTTGTCCAAAGCAAGAGAGCTTTCCATTAAAATCCAGTCAGATACCTTCATTAGTCAGAAACTGTAGCCTATACTATTAGCCACTATACTATACTACCTTCTCAGAAAACGCTCCCCAAAAGGGGTGATGTGTATGCTGGTTCCTAAAGGATAGGTAGAATTCTGTCATGAAGAGGCAAGAAGTAAGGATATTTCAGACTAATAATGCAATATAAACAAAGATAAGGAGATATGAATGGTTTAATGAAGCTGTAAGATATGCTATGAGGAGGGACGTGGCCACAGAAGTGAAAAGTAACTGGAAACATAAGTTAAAATGAAAATGTATAGGAACTTGTATACCACGCTGAGCAGTTTAACCTTTATCCTATAAAGTAAACCACTAATATTCAAAGTTGATTATGCATATCCCAGAAGGTGCATAAAACAATCTACTAGGATACACGAAAAAACAGTAAGAAATTAATTTATTTTTAATCTAAAGAAATAAGAAAGAAATTAAGATTTACTAGCATTCAATATATAAAATGACATTGGCATCCTCACTCATTCTGTGTGCCAGCAGTCAAGTATCATACATTTTACCAAAGGTCTCCACAAAGTTTAAGATTGATAGTTGTACTCTCACTCTCCAATTGTCTTTCAGTATATTACATGATACAGTATTGTAGCTTAGATGAATGGACTTAAGGACAGTATCTAGTTTTAGGTAATCTAACTTTCATAAAATAATGACTTTTAAAGATTCTTTCACAGAAATAAACTGCAGAAAGTATTAATATAAGCACAAGTGAACAAAAAATGGGGAGCCAGCATTTTTCCCTGCTCCTATAACTGGCTTTTCTTCAGCCACATTAGGAGACCAAAAAAAAAAGACAGATACCGTAGTCCTCCCTAATCTGCAGTTTCATTTTCCTCAGTTTCAGTTACCCAAGGTCAACCACGGTCCGAAAATATTAAATGGAAAATTCCAGTGATAAACAATTTATAAGTTTTAAATTGTGTGCCATTCTGAGCAGCTTGATGAAATCTTACCAGGGACACAAATCACCCCTTTGTCCAGCACATCAACACTGCATAAGCCACCTGCCTGTTAGTCACTTAGTAGCCACCTCAGTTATCAGATCGACTATTATGTTAACGCAGTGCCTCTGTTCAAATAACCTTATTTTACTTAATAATGGCCCCAAAGCACAAGAGTAGTCATGTTAGTAATTTGGATAAGCCAAAGAGGAGCCCTAAAATGCTTGCTTCAAGTGAAAAGGTGAAAGTTCTCATCTTAAGGAAAGAAAAAAATGGTATGCTGAGGTTGCTAAGATGTACAATAACTTTTATTATAGTATATTGTTATAATTGTTCTATTTTATTATTAGTTATTATTGTTAATCTCTTTTCTGTGCTTAACTTATAAATTAAACTTTATCATAGATATCTATGTATATATAGGAAAAAACATAATACTGGTTTTGGTACTATCCGAGTTTCAGGCATCCACAGGGAGTTTAGGAAGGTATCTTCCCTGGATTAGGGGGGACTATGTATTTTAATCACAGATGACATATTCAAATCACAATACTACAATACTCAAGGATCAACACTGTATTGAATTTAAGATGCCTACAGGGCATTCAAGTTGAAATCAAAAATGTGGAACTCAGGAGAGAGGTCTAGCCTAGAGATTTTGGAAATTATAACCAAAACTTCTAGTCCTACAGGAAGTTCTTGCGGAAAGGTAAAGGAAAGGACCAAACTTCAAAAAAACAACATTTAGGGGCTGGCCCCGTGGCCGAGTGGTTAAGTTCCTGCACTCCGCTGCAGGCAGCCCAATGTTTCGTTGGTTCGAATCCTGGGCGCGGACATGGCACTGCTCATCAAACCACGCTGAGGCAGCGTCCTACATGCCACAACTAGAAGGACCCAGAACGAAGACTATACAACTCTGTACCGGGGGACTTTGGGGAAAAAAAGGAAAAAATAAAATCTTTAAAAAAAACACCAACATTTAGGGAGTGGACACAAGCAGGGGAAAAATGAAATAAAATTTAGATGTCACTGGGGGTACAAGGTGAATCAAGGTCTCAGTGATGTGGAAACCAACTGAGAAAAGAGCTTTAATAAGTAAAAGAGGAAAAATATTGTCAACTGCTACAGGAAGATCAGGAAGAATAAAAATTAATAAGCCACTGGTTTTATCAACTGGGTCAACAACAGCACTGAAAAGAGAACAAAACGGTTAACAAGAGCTGTCTGGGTTCTAACCTCAAATGATGCAAATCTATGTGATCTTGATTACTTAATCTCTTTATGTCTCAGTTTCTTTTTGAGGTAGGTTGGTAGGTATTACTCCCAATTTACAGATGACGCAACTAAAACAGAGAGGTTGAATAACTTACCTAAAGTTCCAGAGCTAGTAAGTAGTATAACTAGGATTCAAACTCAGGCAAAAGGTGTTCAAAGGTCTTGACTCTACAGTATACTACCTCATAGGGGTGTTCTGAGAATTAAATGACATAACCTATGTTAAGGTACTTAAAATAGTGCCAAGCACACAAACAGGACTCAAATGGTAACTATATTAGTACCATCCTCACTGTCATTACTGAATGACTTTAGGAACATTAGTTACATGAGTATAACTGAGATCCAGGAGATTATGAGGGACTGAAGAAAAGAAGGAAAGTGAGAACAGCAACTCCAAGGTGAAGCCCTGTGAAAGGAACACTACTTTAGGGTAGAAAAGACTTGAGCATTGTTACAGGCTGAGAAGAGGAACCTTAAGGCTCAGAAATTCAACATACTATAAAGGGAATAAATGATGGCACAAGAGCTCAAAGAATACATGAAATGAGAAAAAGAGCACAAGCAGAGAGTTAATCTTAGAAACCACAAATAAAAGTGCTTCCTCTAAGATAGGAACAAAGCTGAAAGGACAAAGGACATGTAAAGAAACAAACAAATGAGACTATTTGTTCCATATTATCTGACATATATTTTCCCCGTGAATTAAAAGGCAATGTCATCTGTTCAGCAGAGGAGGATAGGATGTTAATGAAATAGGAAGCTTGAAGGGAATAGTAAATTTGAAATAATCACACAGAAGAGGAAAAGGGAAGATTAGCACTTAGCAAAGAACTACTAAAAAAGTTCAGTTCACTAATGTGGAAATACTATAATACCACTGATCAGGATGAAAGATTTATCATGATGCAACTTGTAGTTTTTGTAAATGTCAGAAGGTACATATGGGAACACAACCTGGCCGCTGTCATTTCATTTAAAAGTTTAAGTGTGGACACTTACAACAAAAACAATATCAACAATAAGACAAACCAACGAGATAATTTAAGTTTCAGTACTTGATCATACACATTAAGTAGTTTTGAATTAGGGCTCAAAATACTAGATCAATGTTTATCTAACATATGTAGACTTGAGAACACCTCAGTTATTTGCTTAAACAATGAAACATAACTGAGGGCCATAGACACATATAGTTTCTTTGGCATTACACAAAACTATTCCTTAAAGAATGCTTCACCTTTGCAATGAATCTTCTCTGTGAACCAGGTTGACCTATTTATTAAATGGTATACTGAGTTAAAGCTATGTTTATAGAATGCCTTGACATTGCAGTGAGTGGGTAAACCTCCCTTTAGATTTAACTATCAGCTGCAAAAATACAATACCATGCTCTCCAGTGCGACGAAAGGAAAAAAGGTCATGCAGCCCACTAACTTCTTTAATACTAACTACTGTACTGGAAATCCTTAGCTCCTTCTTGATGGCATAACAGATATTTTTTAAATATTAAATATTCCAAAAACAGACATCATGATATGACATTTGGACATACATTAAAGTCTTCAAGGCACAATAACTTCTCCCTTTAACATCAAACTTCATACAAAAATAGGTTAGTTTTGGACAAGAAAAATTTACTTTGTTAAATGCCTTCTTTGTGCATTTGCTACTGTATTCAGAAAATATTAGTTTGGTTATATTTTTCCCTATTATTAGAAGCAAAAGAAGAAAAAAAATCAAGACATTAAAGATTCAAAAATGCCTGCTTGTCATAGTCCAACTGTGCAGATGTTAAATGGAAGGAACCATTATAACATTGTTACTTTAGGAACATGATCTATTATGACAGAAAAATAGTTCTTAAGTAATCACTATAATTTCATCATGAAAACAACCCGCACATCTTCTACTACTTTGCCTTCATTATTTTCAATAACACAAAGCTTACATTTCAAGACCACCAATAAAAACAGGCATAAATGATCTTTCAATGCTTACAAGGTAAATCTTTGTGAAAGTGTGTTGAAACTAAAGTAACTGCTACTGCAAAAACAAAGCAAAACTATATTACTTTATACATCAGGCCATTATTCTCAACAGCGTGTTTTGTGATATTAGAATTTTTAGTTCTATATATGCTCATAATTAAAACATAACTGACATACAATCTAATCTTTCAATATTTTAAAGACCATTTTAATTGGGTTGTTCAGTTGTTACGTTAAATCTTCCCAGTATTTAATTTAAAAAAAAATCCCTCCTCAGGCATTGTCTGAAGCAGTCCCTCTTTAGAGGATTCATTTTCTACATTCATTCCCTTTCTCATCTCCACTGTTTGGCCTTCCTGTTTATAAAAGCCAGCACTTGCAGCAAAAATCTAGAGGTTTTAAGAAGCTATTATGAAGGAAATCAACTTTTAATCTAGTCACCCCTTCGTGCAAAAAGAATGGATATTTAGGAGATTTGCACTACCTCATTCGACTCACCCCTGACACACGTCTATCTTACCAGTAGCGAGGCAAGCACTTTTTGCTAAGTTTCTGTACAAAGCTAAAGAATAAAAAGAAAAAGATGTGAAACGAAGAAAGAAAAAACTCCAGAGACTCCAGTTTACCTAAGAATATTATCTAACTATGATGCCCGAGTGAGAGAGGAGGGCTGGACTGCACACTTCTGCGTCTTAGAGCAATCAGTGCCAGTCAATCTAGCTGATCTGGATAAACCTTGACGTGCACAAAATTCAGGGATGGGTTCATTCACAGGGGCATCAGTCTCACAATCTTGCTCTGAGCAACTTCAGACTATGAATAGGGATGGAATGTGGAGAAACACTGCAGAGAGAAAAGCCCATTCAGACTTCTCTGAAGGCACCTATCCTCACGGACAAGACGCTCGTTTTGGGTTTCCCCTGGAGTTCCAGGTTTCAAAAGCCACACTGCTGCGCAGAAGGAGAGGACTAGATCGGGTTAAACACCTGAAGATGGGACGCTCTGCCAGCTGGGGGGTGGGAGGGACAGAGGCCAGCAGTGGAGAGACGAGGGTCAGGCGAGGCGCAAAGGCGCAGCGGTAGCCGCTGCAGCCGCTGTGCCCGCCGGTGGGCAAGTGTCCCTGGGACTCCCCGGCCAGGCGTGCGAAAGTCCCAGCTGGGGTCCGAAGACGGGGTGGGGGGGCCTGAGGAAGTTGTGCCACGGCGGGGGGTTGCCGCGCAGGGTCCACGCCGCGAGCAGGGCGAGGGCGGCCCCGCCTGGGGAGAAGGTGACCGGGCGCGGCGGGCGGCGGAGAGGGGCGTGCGCCTACACGTGCGCGAGCTGCAGGTGCCCGGGGGCGGCGCGTGCACGCCGGGGCGAGCGGCCGTGTGTACACACGGAGCCGCGAGGGAGGCGGCACCGGCCGGCGGGCGCGAGCTCGGGCGGAGGGCGCCGCGGCACACCGAGCCCTGACCCCCGCCCCCACCCCACCCCCACCCGCCCCCCAGGACTCGACGGGCCGGTTACCTTTCTCCTCTCTCCACACCTTTTTCTTCTTGTTGCTGGGGTACATGTTGCCGTGGGGGTGGCTGGCTTTAAGCTGCAAGTTCCCCAGGCTCACGGGCAAACAGGGTGTGTGAGGAGTGGGAGGGGTGGGAGGGGGCACTCGGGAGGGAAAAAGTGAAAGAGGCTCCGCGTCCCGCGCCGCTCGCCGCTCTCCAGTCGCCGCCCTCCTCCCTAAGCCCGCGCTCGGCGTCGGCTCCCACCCGCCTCAGCCCCGCGGTCGCCGCCACAGCAGCACCTCAGAGCCTGTCAACTAGGTCACGCCTCGCGCTAACCTAACAGCGCGCAGGCCCCGCCTCCCAGCCGCTAGCCAACGCCGCCTCCCATTGGCTGCACCGCCCGCCGCTCTCCGCGTTCCAGCCACCGCGCGCCCCGACTTCGGCCCCAGGGCGCACGCGCAGGCGCAGGCTCGGGCCCGACGCCGAGGACGTTAGGGAGCTGGAGGGGGCGGAGCCAAGGCGCGAGGGGCTGGAAACGGCCTGGCGACGGGGGCGGAGCGTGGAGCGGGCACCTGGGAGGAGCGTGAGACAGCTGGGGCTTCTCCTCGGCTTCTCTGCAGAAGGAGGACCGGAGGGCGTGGCCTATAGGGCCAGGTGCGCCAGGTGACTGGGGAGCGAGCGGGTGGCTGCTGCCTCAGGAACTGCAAGATGTGAAAGTGGGAGGAGATGTGAGTCCACGAGGATTGTCAATGCTCTAACTGCCCCGTCAGGATGGGTTTTACCAGATACTCTGAAGCTCTCCTCTTCGTGGGCAAATATGACGGAAAGAAGTGAAAGGATTGGGAAATGGTTCCAGACCATATACAGTCGGCTTCTCGACCTTGTAGTAAAAATTACAGATTTCACTGGAGTTCGATGAAGTTTAGAAAGACCAAAGAAACTGGACTACTCAAGGATTTTAAGACCCAGGAAATAGTGGGCAACCAAAATGTTATATTGGAAACATAAGTCTTACATCAAAGCAAATTCAAATGTGTGTTAACCAGAGCCAGGCCATCGTATCGTTTTATTCCTCCACCAATTGCTTCAGGTCAAGGCACTGGTCCAAAGAGCTGGCTTGATTCTGGGTAATACTAATCTGTCCTTGTTCTGAAAATCCAGTACCGGTGGACTCTACCACGAGAGTGGGGTGACCTAGAATTTAGAAGTTTGGTAACCCCTCCCCAAATTTGTTGCGTTTCTGATATCGACCCTGATATCAGTTTCCCCACACTAAACCCAGCATATATGGGGTTAAAACCAAAACACTCATTCCCTGCTTACTCTCTGGCTTCCTAGCTCCAGAATCCACTATGCTCCATGGAGACAGACACCGTCAAGGACAAGCACCTGGACTATCTCCTCCCCACAAAGAGATACAGCTGGTGGGAAAGCTGCTGACCAGCAAGGTCATGAGCTCCCTCCTCTCTGCAAGTGTCTCAAGGCCAAAGACAGGCTGGTGGGAAAGCTCCGACCAGCAAGGTCCTATGCTCCCCCTCCCCTACCGAAAACCCCAAATAAAAACCCTTCCTTTTAGCTTTTTCGGGGAGTTTGGGATTTCAGTGTTAGCTGCCCTCTCTCCTTGCTCAGCGCTGTGCAAAAATAAAGTTCCTACTTTCTTCCACCACCCCTGGTGTCAGAGATTGGCTTGCTGCGCGACGGGTGAGTGAATTCACTTCAGGTTCGGTAACAATTTGGCGACCCAGATGGGACAATGTCCCAGGTGGACGTCTCGCCCTTGGCACACCGGCCTCTGGTGAAAGGCCTCTCTTGGAAGCTGTCCTGCAGCTGCCTGAGCCCCTTGTCTCAGGGACAGCCCCAAGTGGCTGGCTGCTAGCCAGACGTCGTTGGCCCACGGCGCTTTTGCTTTGGTAGTGGAAGAAACTAGGTTTAGGACATAGGAAGACGTCTCTTGTAAGTAGCTGGTAGTTTTTGTTCTTGTCTTTGTGTTAAACTTTTCCAACAGGACCGGCCGGAAACAATGGGTACCTTGGCAGCCCTCTGGGCTCCGTTTGTTTTGAAGTCTCCGCAACGCCCTGGCCAAATTTTGGTAAGTCCCCCGGGTGTGCACAACCGAGGTCCCTTGTCCTTGCTCATTTGGGAAGATCTGCATGGCGGATCTTCATTTGTTGGGCGCCCCCGAGTGTAGGACACGGACTAAGGTGGGGCTGGAAGCACTTTGGTTTTTGGTTTTGGTCTTTGTTTTGGCTTCCGTTTGTGGCCGAGGGTTTTTGGGAACGCGCGCTTGTTTGGTATTTGTTGTTGCTGTCTGTTTGTCTGTCCTTTTAAAAGTGTTAACATGGGAGATGCTGCATTTATTACACCTAAGAGCCCCTTGGGAAAAACTTTGGCTGATGGGTGACCTACAGCTATAAGCCAATGTCTAAAGAGGGATGATTTTCTTTTGTAACACCACATGGCCACAATATTCTTTAGACTCTGGAGAGAAAAAAATGGCCAAAAGATGGATCCTCAAGTTGGGAAACTTTTTAGAGAGCTCTTATGATCAACAACTGTTTTGTTGGTACCTATGAAAAGACCAAATTAAGAGGAAACTATAATGACTAGTCTTAAGAACTTAATCAAACTTGGGATCTCAGCTTCTTGTAGTCTTACAGATGCTAATAAAAATGTTAAGTTAACAAAGAGAGATTAGAAAGGGAAGAGTCACAGGACTCATCTCAATGGGATAAATGGAACAGATATGAATGAAGTTAAAACAAAGGTTTTAATAAAACACTGCCTAAGGTTGGATGGGCTAAAGGGACCCCCCTATTGGCTCCCCAACATTAAAGGACATCAGACAAACCTGTTCTATTTACTCCAGTTTGAAAAATGTAAAAGGTCAGGATGCAAAAATCAGAGTGAGAAACCTGACCAACATTTGTTTGGGGCAACAATTAGGCTACTAAGATTAATAAGACTATAAAAATTAAAATGTTTGAGCTAATATTATATGAAGAGGTTATGTCAACTTTGCCTGGATGTTTTCTTTGGGAATAAATGTTATGTCTAACTGGGAATGCTTCACCTGAACAATATTGTAATACCCAAACTTGTTAATAGAATCCTAATGTAAGTTATAATTAAAAATATAAGGGCTAGTAAAACTAAGATAAAGTTTTGTAAAAAATTGATATACTTAAACAGGCCAATTGTAGTTCACCCAAACTAATGTATGCAATTGGAAAAGCCAGCTGCAACAATGGGGAACCTGTTTTAGTCTTTTGAGGCTTCTAAATAAAATTAGAAATACTTTACCGCCTCTTTAAGAGAAAATAATTAAATAATTAAACATGCCAGCAACCGAACCCAAATCTGCTTCTCAAATCTGCTGCTGTTGTCTACTCTCTTTTTGCTGAGCTTCCCAACAAGCTGAGCTGAGCTTCAACTCCCCCAAAATTCCTGATCTAAGATTGAATGAGTAAAAATAAGTAAACTTTTGAGACAATTTGAAATTGTAACGACCATTCTGAAAGCCTGTTTAAGTTTGCTGGTTTCATTTAAAAGGAACATGTCCTCAAAGTTATCAGCATTGGCTATGATGCAGACATACAGCCTGGGTTTACTGGTCAAATGAACTCATGTCATGTATGTTAGAAAACTTATTAGGAAAACTCATAACTCAGTATAATAGCTAATTTTGTTTAATGTCTCATGGAGTTTTTGTAGATGATCTAAATATAATTGTTAAGAACAGGTAAACTAAATAAATGTAAAAAAATAAAAGTTTTTGGAAAAACTTTTTAACAATAATTATATGTATAATTATATGTATAATAATTATATTATGATATATGTACTTAAAACAACTGGGGACAATAGTTCACTGCTGTAATGTCACATGAAGTTTTTAAGAGTAATTGTTAAAACTGGGTAAAAGTTTTAAGTACAATAATTATGTTTTATGGTCTGAATACTTAAAAAACAGCTTCCAAAATCTTTTTGGAAACTTAAATTTTGTAACTTTACTAAGTTAAGTTAAATAATAACAGTTTATTGGGTATCTAGGTCATTTCCACATAAGATAAAATATTAAAGGTTAACTACTAAGCATATATTTCTCTGCCTTTGGTTTCTTATATCAAAGAAACTGAAAAGTGCTTAGGTTATTGATCAACATGTTGTATGTATGTTGAGAAATTTTCTATGAGAAAACATATATTTCTAAAAGGTCGGTATACAAAGAAAGTAAAATATATGTTTTCAGTAAAAAGATATGAAGAATGGAAATATTTTTGTTTCTTGAGTTGAGAAAGATAAATTTGTCCTAAAGTGCTGGGACAAATTCTGAATGTAAAAAAGTAACCAAAGGTTTGTAAAAGTAAAGCCCTAAAGAGTTTTATGTATGGTCAAGTTGTCCAGGATTAAAGTAAATCCAATTAAGTAAATAAACTTAAGTAAACCATTTTAAAAAAAATCAACTTAAGTAAATATGTCAAAAGTAAACTGGTACAAAATTAAAACTTGGTTTCCTCTTTCTTAAAAGGATAATTTTCCTAAATTTTTAATCTGCTCTTTATAAAAAGGTTATAAAAAGGCTTTGTTTGACTATTTTAACTCTGTTTCCCCTTGACTGTTTCTTTTATCGCTTCAAATAGATACCTGAACATGGTTTTACAAGTGAACTTTGTTTCCTATCTGAACAAATGTTTTAAAGTTTTTAATATTTTTGACAAGCTGCCCCCCCACACAAATATTCAAGTCTTAAATAAAAGCTTTCTTTTGACCTGGAAGAGGAGGGAGAGTTTCTCCGGGTATTTTCAGAGGGCCCCTGGGACTTCTCGGAGAAATTTGCTCTCTTCCTATAAGAAAAGAACGCTAAACTAATAAGGCTTATTTTGTATGTTAAGTTACATGAGAATCATTGTCAAATAAGTAATGATAAACTTTCTTAAATGGTATTATGTAAATGAGTGTTATTGATATAAATACTTTAAAAATTATATGATCTGTTCTGATTGTCAGTTATAATCCTGGTTATTATCTCAAAATGTTATATATCACAGACATGGTCAAATGCCTTTGTCAATTACCATTTTTGAATGTTTTGTTATTTATGAACAGTGGCTATTTTACTTTGATGTTTTTGCAAATATATTTCATCTTCAGAGAAATTCATGGAAAGGGCTCTGACACTCTAGAATACAGGTTTCCAGTAAACGCTCAGATTGTAAAACCAAACTGGGTAAAAATTACAGAACTCCAACAGAGAAACTGATGACCTCACAAACTGCTCACAGAAGATTAAGATCAAGAACCAATTACAGAGGACAGAATAAACTGATAGGGATGATTATAATTTTCTGATTGAGATATTGCTGATTTTTTGATGTTTTGCTTTTTTCAGAGTTAAGAAAATCTTTTTCTCTCTTCTCTTAAAGAACTATGACTTACAACAATTTATAAACAAAATTGAAGCCTTTGTTTTTTCCTCCTTATCTGAGCCCCCCAAAACACAAAAACTTCTGATAAGTAAGTATTCTTATTCTTATGGCAATATGGTTGTTTGCATAAGTACAATAAGAATCTGTTCTTCTTTTAACAGGACACAATTGGAAACACTGGTTATATTACCAAGACTTTGACTGGAATATCATATTTAAAAAGAACATACAGGCTTGGATATAACACGACAGCTTTTGAGGAATGAAGGTTGACATATTGGAATAAAGCCACCTGGAAATATTGGCCTGGTACTGTGCTTATGGGTTCTGTAACCTGGTAAGGTTGAGCAAAGAATGTCGCTCCCTCTGGCAGGTACCAGGAACCTCAACGTTTTGGGGAACCTCATGAAGAGAGAAATTCACCCAAATCTGCAGGTACTGCAGGCAGAATGTGATACAGGTCCTTTGCTTGGCTTTCCTTGAGAGGCCTTTAAAGATCAACCTGAGATTCCTTATAAGGTTCCAGCAAAGCAGATTTAAAAGAGCCTATAAGATCAATTACTATTCTTGCTGTACTTATGTAAATAAGTATGCCAAATTCATTAAAACTAGACTTATTTTGCAAACCAGTTAGTCTTAATTTGGCTATGTCTAGTGAAATTGAGGGTGATTTTAGGGAGGAAGATTATGTTTCAATAGAAACTATAATACATGTTTATAAATATTGAATTTTAGTTTTTTCAATTCTCTTTGAAATTTTTGTTTTACTTCTGTTAACTGGACTGGATCTTGAATTCTTCGTCTCCTGAAATATCTGACTAAAAACGTCCAAACTAACATTTTCAGGGTTTTTTTTTTTTCCAATTATTTTCATTTAGAGTCATTGAAAACTATCTCTGCCCTTTTTCCTAAAGCCTTACAAACTGAAGCTCGAAGACCCAATATAAACTTAAGAGAGATTCATGTCTACTGCTGTGTAAGCCACTCAAAAAGCTACCTGAGTGCCCAATGGCACCATGAGAGACATTTCAAACTGCAAAAGATTCTTTGACCCTGACTTCTAGAAATCTTGATTGGCTGCCCCCAGGCTCAGAAACTGGTTCATAATTTGCTCCAATCATTAACCTTGTTTTTCTCTTTTTGTTTCTCTAGAAAAACTTCTTATTAAATACCTGGTTACTTACTTACATGATACAGGCCCACCTTCAGGAGCCCGCCAGCATCACTGCCTTATTAAAAGACTGGTTCAATGATAGGAAACAACCTACGCCCCATTTCAGCAGGAAGTAGCTAGATTGGTCGCTGCCCCAAATCCCTCAAGATTGAGGGACGGACATAAAATAGGGGGGAGTTGATATCGACCCTGATATCAGTTTCCCCACACAAAACCCAGCATATATGGGGTTAAAACCAAAACACTCATTCCCTGCTTACTCTCTGGCTTCCTGGCTCCAGAATCCACTATGCTGCATGGAGACAGACACTGTCAAGGACAAGCACCTGGACTATCTCCTCCCCACAAAGAGATACAGACTGGTGGGAAAGCTTCTGACCAGCAAGGTCACGAGCTCCCTCCTCTCTGCAAGTGTCTCAAGGCCAAAGACAGGCTGGTGGGAAAGCTCCAACCAGCAAGGCCCTATGCTCCCCCTCCCCTACCGAAAACCCCAAATAAAAACCCTTCCTTTTAGCTTTTTCGGGGAGTTTGGGATTTCAGTGTTAGCTGCCCTCTCTCCTTGCTCAGCGCTGTGCAAAAATAAAGTTCCTACTTTCTTCCACCACCCCTGGTGTCAGAGATTGGCTTGCTGCACGACGGGTGAGTGAACTCACTTCAGGTTCGGTAACATTTCTAAATATCAGACCATCTACAAGGCTGATTTGGTGGATAAGGTGAATCCACATTTATTCAACAATTAGGGTGCTGTGTTATAAATGTTGTGTTTAAGCCAGGTATGTAAGAACAAATAATTATTTGGAACACGTTTTTTTAATAGTGAAAGACAAAAGGAAGAAAGGAGGGGGCCCCCTTAAGAATTGTAAAGATTGAAATGTTTTGAATTACAGGACACTCTCAGGATTATTCATAACATAGTAAAGTAATAATTTTTATTTTGACACTGTCTCTGCCTCTGTTTTTGTTTTAATGCTGGGAAGTACCTAAACATTTATTTGGCTAAGAGAAATAGGGAAGGCTTCAAGAAAGAGGTGACATTTGAGCTAGTAATAAAAATACACATTCATTTATTGGCAATGGAAATAAAAGGAGAGCTCTGATTCAAGACTCATTACCAAGGTCAAATCAATAAAAATTGGTAATGGAATAGATTTGGGGAAGAACATGAGGATGAGAAAGAAGATAAGGGTTTCATGGGATAATGAAGGAGGAGAGTAGCAATATTATTAATATTAGGCAATACAGGAGCAATTGCAGATTTTGTGGGAAAGATCTTGAGTTCTTATTTAGAAATATTCAATGTAAGGCATCTGCAGGAAAGTGCATCATACTGGGCACTTTTCCTTCTGTTAGAACAGCGAAGCTGTTTCTACCCCCTTCCTAGGGCCAATCCTTCCACCTATGCTTTCTTAGGAACATTACACTATTGATTGTCCTTTGTCTCATGTCAGCTCAAAGAACTAGAACCGTACATCAATTTTCAGACTTTCTCAAGTCTCTCCCATATTTAAAAAAAAAAATCTTCCTATGATCCCACAACCCCTCCAGCTACTACTTCTCCTTCCTTTCCTAAATGTTAGCTATACCTGCTGTGTCCATGTCCTTACATCCCACTTTCTACTCTTCGGTCCATTCTAATCTGGGTTCTATCCTATCAATTGCTTGAAATAGCTCTTGTTAAGGTGGCTAATGACCTTCATGTGCTATTAAATGGACATTTGTCAATCTTTCTCTTACAAAATCTCTCAGCAGCATTTAAAATTGCTAACTTCTCATTCCTCCTTACAGCATTTTTTTCGTTTAATTTCCTCATCCTTTTGAGTTTACTCCTGTATGGCCATTCCTTCTCAGTCTCCTTTGCTAGCTCATCTTCCTTTTCAGCCATTACGTTTTGGAGTTTGTTTGTTTGTTAAGGCTCACTACTAGCCTTTTGTCTCTTTTCAGTTTATACTTTTTCTTTGAATAATTTCATCCATACTCATGGCTTCAGTTAAAACAGTGATGCTCAACCAGGTACAGTTCTGCCCCTCAGGGGACATTGGCAATGTCTGGAGACATTTTTGGTTGTCACAACTAGGGGAAGAATGCTATTGGCATCTAGTGGATAGAGGCCAAGGTTGCTGCTAAACATCCTACAATGCATAGGACAGTCCCCCACAACAAAGAATTGTCTAACCTAAAATGTCAATACTGCTGAAGTTAGGAAACCCTGAGTTACACCAATAACACCCGAATTTATTATCTCCAGCAAAAATTTTTTCTTGAGCTTTGGACCTATACATGCTACCATATACTGGATCTCAACTTTAAGAGACAGTGTTGTGTACTGGTTAAGAGGCATCTGGAGTGAGATCACCTGTATTCAAATCCTAGCTTTATCCTTCTTGACTGTATGACCCTTGGCAAGTTACTCAAAGTCTCTGTGCCCGGGTTTTTTATCTATTATATGGAGATTATATGTAGTATCTGCCTTATAAATTGATGTGAGGATTAAATGAGTTAAAACACATAAAAGATTTAGAACAGTGACTAACACATACTAAATGTGGCAGAAATGCTCATTAAGACAATTTCCTCTCTCTTGACCCAAAGGAAGACTATATTTCCCAGCCTCCCTTGAAGTTAGTTAGGACATGTGGCTGCATCCTGAGTAGATTATAGGACAGAAGTCATGTATGCCACTTCCAGGCTTGACCATCAAATTCCCTATGCAATCATCTATATTCTCTCTTTCCTTTCCACAGTGATCTCAGAAGCAGCATCTAAAAAAGAAAGTTAGCTTGGATACCTGAGTCACTGTGTGGAGGACTAACTCAGAGATACAAGGAGTATCAGGCCATGATATAACTAAGAAAATTTTATTGTGTTAAGGCATTAGTATTTAGAGGATATTTGTTTCAGTATTTAGTGTTAATTATTCTGACAAAATACCATTATAATCCAAAAATGTTAAATATTAATATTTAATGTCTCAAAAGTACCTGAAATGTACCATGTAACATACTAAACTCATGATCTTTCCCCCACACTTAGACCTCTTCCAGTGTTGAATGGCTCCATCACCCATTCAGTTGAACAATCTAGAAACCTAACTGCCATCCCTGGTACTTCTTATAACTTCACTCCCATTTCAAACGAATTTATATACCTTCCCAATTTTATATCCTGTATAACCCTTGAATTGCTCTCCTTTCCAATAGCACTGCAGTAAGCTCAGTCTGAATTTAAGCGGACTAGTGCAGAAGACTTCCTAATTGGCCCCCATGTCCACTTTTGCCCCTCTTCTGTCCATTCTCTGCTCTGCATCTAGAGTTATCTTGTCAAAGGTGATCATGTCATCTCACTAATGTAAATCATTCAATGATTTTCTGGTAGTCTTTGCTATGGACTGAATTGTGTTTCCTCAAAATTTATATGTTGAAGCCCTAGCTCCCAATGTGATTATACCTCAAGATATGGTCTTTAGGAGGTAATTAAGGTTAAATGAGGTCATAAGGGTGGGGCCCTAGTCCAGTAGGACTGTGGCCTTATAAGAAGAGGAAGAGATTTCTTCCCCCAACCCCTCAATATGGAGACGCAGTGAGATGGCCATCTACAAGCCGGGAAGGGAGCCTTCACTAGAACCAGACCATGCTGGCACTCTGATCTTGGACTTCCAGCCTCCAGAGTTGTGATAAAATTAATTTCTGTTGTTTAAGCTACCTAGCCTATGATATTTTTTTATGGCAGCCTGAGCTGACTAATATAGTCTTATTATGAAAACTAAATCCATTAAGAATGGAGCGACCATCATCTACCAATTTTGCTTTGTCATGCTCCACCCCCACCACCCAATCTCTGGTTCCAATCATACCATCCCTTACAGCTTTTCATTTCCTTAACACATCTTATTCTCACCACATGGCTTTTTCACATGTTTTTCACTATATCAGGGACCTGATTTGTTTAGTTAACCCATTCTTATTCTTCAGAGTTTAGCTTAAACATGACTCTCTGTCAAAGCCTTCCATAACTCTAATCCCAACTGACTTCTACCCACAGTTTCCTCTTATATGCTCTCAATGCTCATTTATTTTCCTATAAACACTTTTTATGGTTTGTAATTATACACTTATTTTTGTGATATTATTTTATTAACATTTATCTTTTCCTCTGGACTTGTAAAGTCCCTGAGGACAGGAAATATATCTTTTTGCTCACCATCCACAGAGAATGGCACAATGCCTAGCACATAATGGACTCAACAAATATTTATCGGATGAATGAAAGTTAAACGAGCAGACGTAGAGAGATATTGACAAAACTAAGGTAGAGCACATGAGACCAAAAGGGGTTATCTTGGGGAGGTCCTAATTTTAATGTGAAGAATAAGAGAGAACTAACAACTGAAGTTAATGAACACCTCAAAGAGAGCTACCGTTCATCTTTAGCATATAGTTGTTATCCAGTACATGAATGAATTAGTAAAGAGTGATAGAAGAAGACTGAGAAATTGTGTTCAAGAGTGTAGAAAAGTAATTGCAACTCAATTTTCAGAGAAACCAATAATATATTTTCAAGAAGATGTTTGGGGTCAGAAAAGTCAGATGTCTCACAGAGATCAAGTAGTATGAGAACTGAGAAAAGATAATTGGATTTATAGTGTATGTAAATTAGTGAAAATGAAAACAAGCAGTTGAAGAATAAGTGGAAGGCAACAAGCTGGAAGCAGTGATTATGGACTATTCTTTTGAGATGTTTGGAGGCTAAAGGAATATGTAGATGAGATAGTAGTTGAAAGGATACCAGAGTCAGGGAAAATTTTTCTAAAAGAGGTAGAATGAAGAGTTTATAAATTAAGAAGATTAGTGACAAAAAAGATTGAAACAAAAAGAGAGAGAGAAAAGGACAAATGTTATATAGATAGACTTAAGAACCAGAGAAAGTAGATTTGGATAGAATCAAAAGTGAGAGTAGAAGGCTTGCACTTAAAATATAGGAAGGGCATTTCATCTTTCGGGATGAATTAGAAAAGGAATGAATAGATAGAGATAAAAAAATTTTTTAAATAAAAAGAAAGTCAAGGGAAGATAGGTCAAATGACATCAATTTCAGTACAAGTAGGAGGCAAAATCATCTGCTTGAAAGATACTGATAATTCTGGATCCAAATGGGGACTGAAAAAAAATATTATTTGAAGAATGTTTAATGGATGATATTGAAAAGTTTAAATAAATTATATTTAGGCAATTTTTAAAAGTACAGAAGTTAGGAAATTTCCATTTTGAAGTCCTTCAGTGAAAGGAAAAGACATTAGAGACTCTGGTGGACTGAATAATGAATGGTCCCAAAGATTTCCAGAACCTAATCTCTGGAACCTATGAATGTTACCTTATTTGGCAAAAGGGACTTCGCAGAGCAGATGCGACTGAAGATCTTGAGATGGGGAGATTGTACTGTATTATCTTGATGACCCTAAATGTAATCTTAAGTATCCTTGTAAGAGGCAGAAGGAAATTAAACAATAGAGAGAAGGCAAAATGATGACTGAGCAGAGATTAGAGTGATGTGGCAGCAAGTAGAGGAATGTGGGCAGCCACTAAAAGCTGGAATATACCAGGCAAGGAATGGATTCTCCTCTGGAACCACCAAAAGGAACTAGTCCTGCCCTTAATTTTAGCCCTGTAAAAATTCTTTTGGACTTCTCACCTCAAGAACTATAAGAGAATACATTTCTGTTGTTTTAACCCACTAAATTTGTGGTAATTTGTCACAGCATCAATGGGAAACTAATAAATGGAGTAAACCTGTAAATTTTAATAAATAAATAAATGTCTGTTTCTGAAGTAACTACCTGTATACACTGTAAAACCTGAATATATTTTAGGTATAATCTCTCAGCTAGCTCCATTCCTTGGATATATTTAATATTTCCATGCTTTTGCCTAAATATTCATTTTGATTTTTGGCCCTAGCCTTGAGAGCACTCACTCATGAAATACCCATATTGTTTAAGATAGTAGAGAAGGCATTTTAAAACACTTTTAATGAAAGTTTAAGGAAACACCTTTTTTTCTAAAAGTTATTGATGACTTGGATGTTTGTCTTTGTCTCAGTAAAACCTCAGCAGTTCCTTACTTGAACAGAGGATAAACACTCGCCCAGATGGGGACCAAAGACTTGGTCCATATGATTCTTGTCCCCCATAGCCTTGAAATGCTAGGTTAAAGAACGATGTCAGGTCAGCTCATGCACTTAATTGTGTTTTAACATATGTGCAGTTTGCCCCTCTGGAGGTAACATAAAAATAAGAACTTCCAGCTACTCTGAACATCATTTGAACATTAGTATGGACATGTACAAATCGGACTTCGGGTCCCTTCGGTTAGTTTCAGAGAGCAACTCCTACCTATTTCAAGCTTATACCTTAGCTCCCACCAGAGGAATGGCAGACCAGGTATGGTTCTCTCCTACAGCCTGCTCTCTCTAGCAACTGGCTTCATTCCGGGTTGAAAGGAATTTCCTGGCAGCTCATTGGCCCAAGAGAAAGAAGGAGGTTGCTTGGCAACTAAATCCTGACCCCCACAAACCTGAAAAGAGGAAGCTTAATTGGCCAGCCACCTAGCTCTGCCTGTGTTACATTGAGGAGGAGCTGCTTAGGAGAAGATGAAGCCCTTGTCCCTGTTAATAGAGATATTGATAATTCTTGGGGTCACAATTAAAAGTAAGTTTTTCTGTCCTTATTATTCTCTATGAGGGTCTTTTCTCTCTAACAGCACTAAGGATGGAAGCTGAGTAGAAAACCAGAAATAACCTCAAAATATTCCCAATTAACACCATTTTTTGATAAGTACTTAAAAATATCCAGTAAGGGTAGATAGTAATGATACTCTCATTTAGGACAATACTTGGGAAGGACATTTGTGTGTGTGTGTATGTGTGTGTGTATGAGAGAGAGGGAGAAATAGAGAGAAAAGGTTGAACAAATCTTTGAGGAGAGTATTATAGTAATTTTTGTAAAGTAGGGATATTTGAGGCAGATTGTTAAGTTTTGTTAAGTCTAGAATATCATGAAGATCTAGTTCCAGAACTTCAAAGGAAAAGTATAGGACTCAAAGAGTGGCAAAGTGCAATATATTTATATTCTTATAATTTCTTTGAATCTTTTCACAATAACAATTCTACTTCCAAAGTTTTCATGTTTCCTATCTAGTTAAAATGGAAATTCTTAAAGTGGAAAATTATTTAAATAATTTTTAAAATGAAAATTATCTTAAGAATGGAAATTATTTTCCAGTATTGTTTCTCTGGCCATTTATTGAGTTAATTTTTCCCCAATCCTCAGCTAATTTACTTTAGAATTCAATTTAAAAAATATTTATTTGTGAGGCCGGCCCGGTGGTGCAGTGGTTAAGTTTGCAGGTTCCATTTCGGCAGCCCAGGGTTTGCCAGTTCGAATCCCGGGTGCAGACATGGCACTACTTGGCAAGCCATGCTGTGGTAGGCATCCCACGTATAAAAAGTTGACGAAGATGGGCACGGATGTTAGCTCAGGGCCAGTTCTCCTCAGCAAAAAGAGGACGATTGGCAGCAGATGTTAGCTCAGGGCTAATCTTCCTCAAAAATAAAAAAATTTGTTTGCATTTAACCCACACCACATCAATAAAATAAAAACAAAGACTACATGATCATTTCAACCGCAGAAAATGCATTTGACATAATCTAACACTTTCTTGTTATAAAAACACTCAACAAACTAGGTATAGAAAGAAACTTCCTCAACCTAATAAAAGGCATCCTCAAAAAACACACACCTAATACATTTAATGGTGAGAGACTAAATGCTTTCCCCCAAGATCAGGAACAAGACAAGGATATCCACTCTTGCTATTTCTCTTTAACGTTGTCCTGGAGTTTCTAGCTAAGGCAAGTAGATAAAAAAAAGAAATAAAAGACATTAAGATTGGAAAAGAAGAAGTAAAACTATCTCTATTTACTAATGACATGATCTCATATACAGAAAATCCTAAAGAATCCACTAAAAAACTATTAGAACTAATAAATAAGTTCAGCAGGGTTGCAGAATAAAAGATCAATGTACAAAAATCAATTGTATTTCTATACAATTGCAATAAACAAACTAAAAATGACATTGACAATTCCATTTACACTAGTATCAGAAAGGATAAAGTACTTAAAAATAAATTTAACAAAACAAGTGCAAAGCTCATACTCTAATAATAACTACAAAAATTGTTGAAAGAAATTAAAGAAAAACCTCAATAAATGAAAATACTTCCTGTATTCATGTATTGAAAAACTTAATATTGTTAAAATAGCAACATTCTCCAAATTGATCTACAGATTCAGTACAATCCCTACCAAAATCACACCTGTCTTCTTTGCATGAATTAACAAAATGATTCAAAAATTAATGTGGAGGAGCCGGCCCCGTGGCCAAGTGGTTAAGTTCGCGCAGCCTGCTTCGGCAGCCCAGGGTTTCGCTAGGTCGGATCCTGGGCATGGACATAGCACCGCTCATGGGGCCACGTTGAGGCGACGTCCCACATGCCACAACTAGAAGAACCCGCAACTAAAATATACAACTATGTGCTGGAGGGATTTGTGGAGAAAAAGCAGGAAAAGAAAAAGGAAGATTGGCAACAGTTGTTGGCTCAGGTGCCAATCTTTAAAAAAAAAATTAATGTGGAAATAAATGTTCTTCTTGGAAAAGAAAAGAACAAAGTTGGAGGACTCGCACTTTCTAATTTCAAAATTTACTACAAAGCTGCAGAAATCAAGACAGTGTAGTACTGGCATGAGGCTAGACATATAAGTCAATGGAATATCATTAAGAATTCAGAAATAAACCCTCACCTTTACGGTGAATTGATTTTTGGCAAGGATGCCAAGACAACTCAATGGGGAGGGGAAAGAAGAATCTCTTCAACAAATGGTGGGGGCAACTGGAGAACCACATGCGAAAGAATGAATTTGGATGCTTACCTTAAATCATATACAAAAATTAATTCAAAATGGGTCAAAGACCTAAGAATAGTAACTAAAGCTTTAAAACTCTTAGAGGAAAATGTAGGCATAAATCTCTCTGACGTTGGATTAGGCAATTATTTCTTAGATATGTCACCAAAAGCACAAGCAAAAGAGGAAAAAAACAAATAAACTGGATGACAAAATTAAGCACTTTTATACTTCAAAGGACAACATCAAGAAACTGAAAAGACAACCTATAGACGGGAGAAAAACTTGGCAAATCATGCATCCAATAAGGACATAGCACTCAGAATATATAAATAACTCTTACAACACATCAACAAAATGACAAAGAACCCAATTTTAAAAATAGGCAAAGGAATTGGAAAGACCTCCAATATTCTCCAAAAAATATATGCAAATGACCATCAAGTACATGAAATGATATATAACATCATTCATCATTGAGAAAATGCAAATCAAAACTACAGTGAGGTACCCCATCACACCCATTAGGATAGCTATAATAAAGAAATGGGAAATAACAGGCTTTTGCAAGTGTGTGGAGAAATAGGAACCATCATACATTGCTAGTGGGAATTTATAATGGTATAGCCACCGTGGAAAACCATTTGGTAGCTCCTCAAAAAGTGAAATAATTACTATATGACTCATCAATTCCACTAGTAGTTGTATACCCAAGAGAAATGAAAATATATGCCCACACAGAAAACTTGTACACAAATGTTTATAAAAGCATTATTCATTACACAGTCACGAGCCGCAGTCATGAGCCCCATAACGACATTTCAGTCAATGATGGACTGAATATACGACAGTGGTCCCATAAGATTAGTACCATATAATCTAGGTGTGTAGTAGGCTATACCATCTGGGTTTGTGTAAGTACATTCCATGATGTTCACACAATGACAAAATCGCCAAATGACACATTTCTCAGAATGTATCTTCATAGTTAAGCAGAGCAGGACTGCAGTTAAAAGGTGAAAACAACCTATAGGTCCATCACCAGATGAGTAGATAAACGAATTGTGATATATACATACAAAGGAATATTATTCAGCCATGAAAAGGAATGAAGTACTGATACATCCATACTACAAGTTGTATGAACCTCAGAAACATTATGATAAGTGAAAGAAGCCAGACAAAAAGTCACATGTTATATAATTCTTATTATATGAAATATCCAGATTAGGCAAATTCATAAAGACAGAAAGCAGATTAGTGGTTGCCAGGGATTTGGGGAGGGGAGAGTGGTGAGTTATTTAATGAGTACAGAGTGTACTTCTGGGGTAAAGAAAAAGTTTTTAAACTAGAGAGAGATGGTAGTTGCACAATGTTGTGAATGCACTAAATGTCACTTAATGGTACACTTTAAAATGGTTACTGTATGTCATGAATTTCACCTCAATTTTTTTAAAATAATGCAATGCTTTGGAAAACAGTCAGGCAGTTCCTCAAAAAATTAAACATAGAATTACCTATGATCCAGAAATCCCGCTCCTAAGTATATACCCAGGAGAACTGAAAACTTCTTGCCACACAAAAACTTGTGTACACAAGTGGCAGCATTATTCATAGTAGCCAAAAAGTGGGGGGAAAAACAAATGTCCACCAACTGATGAATGGACAAACAAAATTTAGTACATCCATGCAGTGTAATATTATTCAGTAAAAAAAAAAAAAGGAATGAAGTAAAATGTGGATGAACACCGAAAACATTATGCTAAGCAAAAGAAACTAGATGCAAAAAGCCACATGTTGCATGATTTCATTTATGTGAAATGTCCAGAATAGGCAAGTCCACGGAGACAGAAAGTAGACTACTGGTTACCTAGTTTGGGGAATTATAAGGGAATTGGGAGATGCTGGCTAAGGGATACAAGATTTCTTTTAGGCTAATGAAAATGTTCAAAAATTGTGGTGATGGTTACACAAATCTGTGAATTTCCTAAAAGCCACTGAATTGTATGGAGAAAAAGAAATATTTAATAAAAGTCATGTGCCAGGAATACTGGGGATACAAGAATATCTAAGACACTGCCCTTATCCTTGAGCAGCTTAAAGTCTAGGAGAGAAAAGCAAGTCAACAAGTGAATAAACTGTAAAGTGTTGTAGGTATTAAAATAAAAGCATTTACCAGGTACTGTAGGGCAATAAATGAGGGAGTGACCAATTCTACCAGAGTGTGGAGTGGTCAGAAAGTTTTCATAAAGGAAATGGCATAAACTGAATCTTGAAAGATTAGTGAATGTTCACTAAGCAGACAAGGACAACAAGAAGATTTCAGACCACATAAAGGGAACAAAAACACAGAGGAAAAGAAGAGCAAGGTCTATAAACAGGTAGATCAGTTTGCTGTAGGTGTAGGATATTAGAAGGAACACAGCAATTGATGAGGCTGGAGTAGTAAGCAGACTTTGTGCGACAGGCTATGAAGTTTGAGTTTTATCCTGTGAGCAATGGGGAATCATTTAAGGGTTTACTCACTGAAGAACATGAATGCAATTATGCTTTAAAAAAATGACTTTGGCGGTAGAGAGGTGGATGGATTCTAGCTGTATAACTCTGGTGACAATATAACCAGTAGCAGACTATTGAATGGCCCAAACAAGAAATGATGAGGACTTAAACTATAGCAATAGCAGTGGGGACTGAGAGGAGTAGATGGATAACAAGGTTAGAGAGAATAGAGTCACAAGAGACAGC